TCTGGCCTTTTTTTGGTTTTTTTTGGTTTTTTCGCTTCTTGGGTTTCTTGTATGATGAGACGAAAGCTCACAATTTTCTGTCTTTCTTGTTTTTGTCTTTTTTTCTCTTCTGCTCTATGCACATATTACTTTTTTGTCAACTCCATATATCCCCAAATGACATACAAAAAGGGACCTTTCTGTCTTTTACTGCAAACTGCTCCCTATCTCTTCCTTTCCTCTTGAGTGCTTCCCAGGACTGGACGTCAGGGTGTTTCTGTTCTTGAAATTTGTACTCTATCAAAATACCCCCTTCTCCAAACGTCAAAACGTATCTCAATGTGGTTTTTTGGTTTCCGTTTTTCTTGAGTGTTGTAGCAGAACAGGGAAGTTTCTTAGTATATACAAACACCACTTTGATTCGTTAAAGACATGATGTGCCTCAAAGATGTGTGCTGAACCTGCCGAAAAAGCCAAGCTACCCAGTCCAAGGCAACACCCGTCGGCGCGGATTCAGCCGCCATCACAACCTTGCATCAGGATTCGAGATCTCACGAGGGGCTGGACTACCTCGAGAAACTGAACAGGTGGGAGGAGGAGAGGGAGGGGGGGGGGTGTGGTTTCAAGAAGAGGAAGGGAAAGAAAAAGGAAATATCCCGAGATGGAAGAAAGAAGTGATGGGCTGCAAGTATAGCTTCGGTTAGCGAGAGAGTAGGAGTGTATGTGAGAGGGAGAGAAGGTCACCCACTCCCTTCCATCCCATCCTTACCAAGGTTTTCTTTCCAACAATTGTGTTTGTGATGGGTCACCATAGACCTTGCCTCATGTAACTCTGGACGTCTCGTCTCGTCTCGCTTCATCCCGCCCTTGAAAACTGAACCGAGGTCGATCCATAAGCTTAACTACCTTACCTAAAAGCCCTTCCCAAAACACGACTTAGCAGCGAGGACTGGAGAGTAGCTCTCGAGATGACCGGTATGCCAGGTCATCGAGTGATCTGACTCTGTGAGTGAATCCGAGGAAGGAGACCTCCATAACCGAATGATTCCTCGACCCGCTTAGCAACAAGTGCAGTGTAGTTTGCATTGTTGTTGGTCACGAGTGGTTTCCCTCCACTAATCTGCCCCCCCGGTTCCTCATCACCGGAAACTAGTTGCGATCCGGCCGGAGGCGTCCAAATGCTGTGCTCTGGTTGGTCCCCGCTCGCTCGTCCGCTTCCTCCGCCGGCTTCATTCTCGGCGGTGCTGGTCCGGGCAAGGGGGGGCGGGGGAATCACGGGAGCTGGCAAGACGGACGAGCTCGCCGGTTCCTCCCCCACGATCCTACTCTTTTCTTTGCCTCTTGCTCTGGTCTTGCAGCTCAATGGAGGGCTCTTCTTACTCTTGCTCTTGTCAATACTAAGTAAGTAGGCAGAGAGTATATCTTTCTGGCAGCTGTAAGACCCCCCCCCCCCTTGCCCCCTCATGTACCGCCGCCGGGCCTACTGCAGCTTACCTTACCTACGAACTTAACCCGACCAGACGGAGGCCATCCAAGGCTACTCGGGGTCCTTTGAACAGAGCGATGAGACCCTCAAGATCGAGGATACAACCTCGTAAGGCCGGGAGGTAGTAGATAATGCTACGTAGTATGCCCAAACTCCCTTCTGGCGGAACAGGCAAAAGGATGATGATTGAAGCCATACCAAAGACTCAATGCCGGTAAGCTTTCTCGTCAAGTTCACCCAACTTTGCATACCCTGAATGAGTCCTCCATGCAGTTAGGTTACCCCCCACGCAGCCCCCTCCATTCACTGCTCACGGTCGAGATCGGCTTCGTCGGAGTCAACTCGATTAAGCTTAAGCTCAAAGGAACTGAAGCCAACGAGCGTGGTCCTTTCTGAACGGTTACACGCCCCCTCCCCCCCTTTCCCGTGAAGCCATGCCTTCCTCCCGGAATGGCGGGGATACCAGTGGCGAGGGACGGTATCGGTGTCATTCATCTTTCCTCTGTCTCAAAATCGAGAAACGTACCACCATGGCAAAATGGAGAAGTACCGGCAACTTACATACTCCGTCTTGTTTTGTTCTTGGTTCCTGGTCACCTTGTTTGATGTGCACGCCTCCCCCTTCCCAACCCCTGCCGTGGCTGTTTGTGGTCCAAGGGTACAGCCATCAGACCATCACCATCTCTTCTCAGGAGACCGAGTGTCATTGTGATGGACACATTTACCGCTAAGCATCCAAGGTAGCAGCAGTAGCTGTTCTCTCTCTCCAGGTACTACCTCAAGCCACGCTGCGGTATGGCAAAGATCCGCGGCCCTTTGAATCGTGCCGTAAGCATCGGATCTGCCACGATACACAGGTAAAGTCTTGGATCGCGTGGTTTGGGGCAATGAGGATGTGACCCTCTGTCCCGTCGTATCCTGTTCTGTCTTTGTCCTACTGCCTTGCACCACTTGCGTGCTGAGGCGAAACCTCTGTGGAGTACAAGAGAGACATGTGGTTTCGACGTTGGGCAGCAGGCGGCAGGCCATTTCAAGGATGTCTTTAACGTGAGGCCTTTAGGACTCTACCCCGTATGATGGAGGCGGCGAGGAAAAGAGACATTCTGCGGCAGCTACTTGCTACGGTAGCTCATCTGACAGCAGGGATACATGATCCGGGACCAAAGCAGGATTTGTGAGGGCGAAAAGGAGAAAAAGAAAGCATGAAACGAAAAAGGCAGGCCTTTCCCGGATCTGTTGTCTCGGCTGTTGGCTGGCAAAGTTGTACCTGGTTCCGCACCCTATATGTGGCAACTGCTTCGAGCCTTTGACAGAACCGCCCGCTGCGGGTTATCAAATCCTCTCGGTGACAGATGACACAGGCATAGCCCGATTGAACGGCAGGCAGGCAGCCGGCCAATGCCCCAACCTCCCCGAGAGCTGGATAAATTACTGGAACGTGGTATCAAAGTTAAGCTCCAGCTACCCAAGGGACAGAGTATTAACCTTGTGCTACCCCGTGGGGATGGGGTCTGGATGGTACGGTACGTTGTGACCCCCGGATTTTCCGTACTTATGAAGAGAACTGGCGGGCTGTATGCCGTGAGGATTGTCAGATCGACGGAGGGACTGCAGTAGATGGTTACTTACGCGTGGGTACAATCGGCTACATGAGGCCAAGTTAAAGTCAACCTTTGCCGAAGTAATACGGAGGTAGAGATGCGCAAGACATGCAAGAGGCCGCGATTGTCCAGGCCGACAGCTTCAACGTAGTTGAGGCGGGGAGGGAGGGCGTGTCTTCATCCAGGCTGGGCCAAGGCGATTAGTTCCCGAGGCGTCAGATCGGGCGACAGCTGGTCCTCGTTTGTCGTATGAGGACGCTTGGCTCGATGCGTGTGTCCGGAGGCAGACGGCCGACGACAGAGACCCGGCCGCCGCAGCATGATAGGTGGAGGACGTAGGGCTCCGCGAGTGCCCAACCACACCAAGGCTCTCGGTACTCTGAGGTACCTCATCGTTCGGTACGATGCGGGGTTCAACGCTAGGACTGAAGCAAGTTGACTGCGTATTCGGTATTGGGCCCTTTTGTTGACCTTGGGGAGATGCGATGATTGGATCTCGTGGTTGAGCGACGGAAGTTCCTCATACCTTACCAGTTGCCCTGCAGGAGACGGCCTATCACGGAGGGCGTTGCCGTGAGGACCTGACGGGAGGGTCGGCGTGACCCCCCGGGTTCATGCCGTCGAAGGCTTCGAGTCCAAGGCGAGCCAATGGCGGAAGCTGTCCGCTATTGCAAGCTTCCCGTGGCGGGGAAGGGTCAGTGAGCTACCGATCATGGCACGAATCTGGTTTCCCATGTGCCGCTAGAAAGAGACCCTCGAAGGATGATGGTTTCTCTCCGGGATGTGAGTTTTGCACCGTGTCGACCTCAGCCGAGACGACATAGTAACGTAACGTCAGGCCTAGTAGACAACGAGCGAGCCATGCACGCTTCAACGCTTAATTCGGCGACGAAGTCAAGATCAGAGCTGTATTCGAGCGAGCGGCCCAGGGTTGCCCGAACCGTTATACATGGAATGTGGCTGAGAATCAGGCGGCGCCGACGACGACGACGACTCGATCGATTGCCGCCCAGTGTTGAAGGCGACGTTAGGCGAAAGAGATGATGTGAGAGAGACGGTAAAGAGGACGAGGAGTGAGGGATCGTGGGGTTGTAGAAGAAAAGTATGGTGTGAGGCGCACTGACCACCGCCGCATCCTCAATTCCAACGTCCCGTCCCCGTTCCTGTCAATTACACGGTAGTCCCTTCTTCTCGTCAACCAAACAGACTACAGTCAAGATTCTTCAGAAGCCAATGATTCTAAAAAGTACGCCTGTCCGCAGGCTCCTCCCTCCCTCAGCAGAACCGATACTGACTTGCTAAGCGAGCTCATGCCAAACACCAGCGGCTTTCGTATCAGGGAAACTGGAAGCCAATCACAGAGACCCCGATTGCCTAAACGGGCTTGCGGGGCGTGCTGGGCCGAGCGGACGCTGACCGCTCCTACTGCCCAGAATCAATGTGTCAATCCCATTACTGACGCGTAAAAAGCTGTCCAATTGTTAGCTTGATCCAGAGTCTACAGGTGTAGTTATGTGAGAAGACCCTGTGTTCTTCCTTCTTTGACACGTTGCCGGGAGGTTCACTGTCACTGGGGCTGAGTAGAACTGGACACGGAGTAAGGTGCGTTGATATACTGATCAACGCCAACTAAACACACACTATTAGGTGTTGGTATACACGCCAGCAAAGCAGCTTTTCGGCCAGTACAAAGTGCAGCAATCTGTGTTGAATCTCGTACGTATGTGGAAAGAGGAAGCTGATGGGAGTAGCCCACGATTTCTCTGGTGGTTGCAAGTAGGTGGAAGGACGGTTTGCACGACCTAGGCCACCTTCAAATCCCCTTTTCTGCCCTCAATCTTTCAACAGTGGTACATATTCTTGGGTATCAACTGGTCAAGCATCACGGTATTTCTCTAATACTCTCCGATCTTTGGGTCACTTCAACGCTGACCTCAATCAGCCGTCGCAGCGTGCCCTCCTCTCCTCGTCGTCGTTCCCGCACCCTGCACACTCCGAGACTGTCCCATCTCCGCCACGTCCTCCCGACTTCTCCCCGGTTCCTCCGCCGACGCAAAGATGCCATCGCCGTTCCCGGATGCCCGCCTACTACCACGTCCCTCCTCCCCAACATTATCATAATCAGACACCCGCGTCCCGTCCGAATCATCACCCGAGGCCCCGCCCCCGTGGACCCCACCGATACCTTCCATTGTGAAAGGCGACGCCGTAGCCTCGTCGAGCGCGCTCAGCTCCTCGGGTGAGAACCAGCGCGGCAGAAGCCAGGCGCGGATGGGAATCAGCAGCATAATGAAAACGGGGAATCCCACCGCGGCGACGGTCTGCGTGATGGCGAACGTGGCGCCGAACCCGACGAGCTCGATGGCCACAAATTCCCAGATGGCGCGACGCCGGCGGATCTGCTTGAGCGGGTGACCCGGCGGCGTCAGGTTCTTGTCGCGCAGCAGGAAGAGGATCTTGAGGGTGATGCCGTTCCCTTCGAGGGCCTGCACGCCCATGACGAAGAAGAGGCCGGCGAGCACGCCGTGCGGGATGAGGTGGAGGACGACCAGCAAGGGGCCCGTCATCGTGCCGAGGGTCAGGAGGCCCTGGGCCAGGTTGGACACGCGCTGTTCCACCACGTGCGAGGCCTTTGTCACGTAGCTGCCCTTGAACTCGCCCTTTTCGTCCGTCTCGGGTTCTGATTTGCTGACTGTCAGGGAGTCGGTGTGGAACGGGGCTTGCGGGATGAGGCCGTTTGGGAACGGCAGGCCGAGGATGCCCGCCACGCCCGTTGTGAGGCCGAGCAAGAAGAGGTCCCAGTGGAATCCGGCCGGCTTCTTGAGCGGGAACTCGGTTCCCTGTGCGATGAGTGAAGATACTGCGAGCTCGTATTAGTTTTGGGAAGCCTTGGGTAGGGAGAGTCGAGCGCATGTTCCTTACCGTTGTGATCGAACCAAAACAAAATGGTCAAGAGGATAGCAAAGGGGATAGCCAGGAAGACATCCCCGACAGGAATGTTCCAAAAGTCCACAAGCCAACTCCTGTCCGCCGTGGGCATGAAGGCGATACCAGTAGGCAGCACCTCCAAATCGACGGGTTCCATCCTGCCAATGTGCACGAATCCCGTAAAGAAGATGAGAGTGAGCGGGGTGCCGTAGTCCTTGAGGAAGACGCGCACGTGATGGTGGAACAGGCTGCTCCCGCCGACGCCGGCGCAGACGTAGGCGACCATGAAGACGAGCAGGGCGGCGACGATGGAGAGGTAAAAGGGCTCGGCGTCGCCCAGCCTCTGGAGGACCTGGATGCCCTTTTGGAGGTAGATGAAGGCCACGTAGAAGCCGAAGATGTCGCAGGGGAAGCGCGTGACGTAGCGGAGCCAGTTGCACGAGTTCGTGACGGCGAGGATCCAGTGGAAGACTAGTGACCACCTGCCCCCCCGTTGAATGTTTCGTCAGTGCGTGATGAGGTGAAGGTGGAAGGGAAGGGAGGAAAGGGTTTGGGCGAGACTTACAGGCCGATCCAGCACATGAATGCTAGGTAGTTTGTGCCGGTTGGCTCCATGATATCGTATACGGTGTAGTTGAAGACGGTGATGGGGCCTGTGACGCCGACAATGACCAGAGGCTGGCAGGCCAGTAGAGAGAAGACCACAGCCCCGAGAACGGAAGCTAGGAGGACCTCGTTGACTCCGTACGTCGATCCCGTGCTCGTAAACATGTCGAGGGAGAATGCCAACGCGGGCAAGATGCTGCAAAGCCGGTAAGCCGAGTGTCAACAAGCCGAGTATCAAGATAACTGATAGCAATAGGCATCGAAAGCAACATTACAACAGAAGATTAGGCACACAAGTCCAACCTTCATCCTGGCATACGGCCGGCTAAACATCATACTTTCCGAGAGGAATGGAAGGATCAGAACCACAGAGGATGACAACGAGACGGACATACTTTGCAAAATACATGTAGACCGTGGCCGGCACCACGCGATAGTCCCAGGCATCGGTCCAGTCACTGACGTAAAAGGGCGCCCGACGACGGAGGTCGTTGACCATACCGCGGAAAAGGTGCACTTTCCACCAGCCGCCGGGTCTGCGCGAGGTGCGGTTGCCGGAGCCGGTGCCGGTGCCGGTGCTGTCGTTCTGTGTGGCGTCCGGCGCGGGCGAGGGGCGTCGACCCGGCAGGACCGCCTTTTCGTCGAGATTAGATACCATGGCCGTCGTTGTCGTCGCCGTCGTTTTCGCCGTCGAGTGGATCAAGTATCGGATTACTTGTAAGAGAGGTCTGGCTTGGCGGTTTGAAACAGTGGAACTGCTAATTATGACGCCTTGCGACGAGAGATGAGGGTCTCTTCTAAACAAAAAGCTGCAATCAAACAATGCAAAGAAAGCAATGCAAAGATGTAGAAACAAGGGCCAACAACGAGTTCAGCAAAACAGGATGTGAGGCCGATACGCAATCATGTCGGCAGGGAACACAAGAGCCTTCAGATCGTCTTGAAGCTCTGTTTCAACTCCGCCGAACCGGTTGAGACTCTTCGTATACTGAGTGTCGGGTGGTGGCAACTTGGGGAACCCGTGATGCTTGTGGGCGCCCTCGCCCGAGAGGGCGGGTTGGCGGTTGTATTTAAGTTGTGTATCCGTACAGAGGGGATATCCGTAGACAGACTAGAGCGACGGGCGGCCGAGGCAAGGTTTCCTTCGCCTCAAGTCTCCAAGAAACCCAACCCAAGCCGGGGAGGGTTATTGTCTCTCAATGACGGAGTGGAGATCGCGGGTTCGTCTACGCGCTGCGAGAGTCCAGAGAAAAACGGCAGTGAATACGGGGGTCCGCAGGTTGAAGTTGGAATTGAGTGGATATCGAAAGAGGTGCGAAATGTAACGACAGACCTGGATTTGGTCGCAGAAGGAGGAAGAAAAGTTACGCAAAGAGACAAGGGGGGGGACAAGACCGAAAAGAGGATGATTGATTTCCTGAGTTCCTGGTCCTGACGGAAAACGCTGAATCTAGATTGGTCGACGAGACAAATTTCGAAGACGACACGGCCCCACCCCGCTGGAGATCTCGAACAGGGAGCGATCTTGGGTGGAATTCAACGACAATATCTTACGACGGCAATGAGATTATGTGAGTGATTTCTTCAGAGAAGGAGAGAAAGTGACAGAGTTTGGCATCATCATGATAGAGTTGTCGCAATAGACTCACTCGCACAGAGGAGAGGTGACGGAAAACACGGTTGTAACGGAAGTTCCTAGTGTATTACTCCGTACACCACCAATACTTCGGGCAGGTCACAGGTAACCCTCACCAGTTCTTCCCTCTCCCCCCACCCCGCCGCCGTCGGTCGCCTCCCGCTTCCTTGCCGTCACCGCTCCTCGCCGAGTCAGCGAACCGTCTGGTCACCAAAAAAACTGACAAAGGCCGATCGCCGAAGCAAGTTCTCGCCACGTGCATATCTGCAGTATAGCCGCCCTCCGTTAGGTACCTTGGCACCTGGAAGTTTTGCGATATCCAGGTATTTTCAATGCAGTACCTACTCCGTACCTATTGTCCCCCCCCCCCTCTCTTCCCACCCTTTCCTCCGCCGGCAACCCCAGTCTTGGAAACCCGAAGCAAAATGGGAATGAATCGGCGCTCTTGATTGGCTCTGCTGGAACTAAATTGAAATTCTGCTTGGGCAGAATGAATGATTTATTCGATACCCTCTTTTTTTGGTTGCTTTCGTCTTCCTACCTACGGGATACCTGACCTCGTACGAGGGAATCCCGCTGCGTGCGCGCGCCTCGTTGTGGTTTGCTTACTGAAAGGGTAAGTAGTTCGTCTTACTGAAGAATTACCAATGACGTCTACGGATACTACGCAGTTAGATCTAAGGTATTCTGCAGTCAACAGTCACACATTAGTTCGTGCCCTCGTGCTCCTCTAGTCCGTCAGACTCTTGCGCCGTTTATGTTAGCCATCTTCTTACCCCGATGTAAGCAAGCAAAAGCAAAGGACGACGGGGCCAAAGTTCACTTGGGCCCGAAGCTCTCTCCAACTGTACTCTTTCCCGCCAAAGAGGTCTACTTACTTACCTCGTACCAAGAAGTTGGGTTGCTTGACTTGCGTGAGATCCGTCGGCAAAATTACACAAAACGATCGGCAACCTTCTTTTTTTTTCTCACTCCTTTCGCGCGGCACTTGTATTCGGTGGCGGGCGGGCGCCGATTACACGTCTACCTAGCACAAACCCAGTCACACGGCCAGGACCGGCACACATCTACCCATCTACCTTGCCCACAGGATCGGGACCACCTTCTTCTAGTGCGCCCTGCGCATGCACGCTGCTCTTCTCTCTTTCATCATAACTCCGTGTGTGTGTGTGGCAGTGTGTATGTGTGGTGAACCAATCATTCGCCTCAGTGCCAATCCCAATTCTCGCTGGATATCTCGGCCCATCTTCGTCCCTGCAGTCTCGGGGTCCCGGGTCGCCGGGTTGCGGCACCCAGTCAAGGTTGGATTCATTGCGTTGAGTTCAAAGATGGATGGAAGCCTCTGAAAATAGGTATCATACTTTTTAGAGTCCAAATACGGTCGGTCACGCTTGAAATGGGGTCAATCAAGAGACTTACTATCCTTACTATCAAATTCCGTGCCCGTATACCATGTTCGAAAAGAGGTCGGCACGCATCCGACCCAGTAACGTTCTTTGCGGTTTGCGACGGATTGGCTTGTTCGGGATTCTTGGAAAAGGGGTGACTAAAGTCTCACCCTTCGCTGATATTCGCCGACTTCATTCGCTGTCACGCTCATGATTCGCATTACCTAGTTGAATTCCTCCCCAATCAGAAATGATTTTCCCCCTACGATCGGAGGTCAAAGGGCGTAAATTACAGCCGAAGCGTGGAAAAAAGGGAAAAATCCCATATCTCCCTTCATAGCAGACTGCGACGGGCTCCATTCGCCTTCGGTCACATCCAAAGTCTCCAAGACCACCCCGTATCGGAGGGCTGTTCAAACGGCATCAGTTTGTCACAAGTGATGTTGTTCGCGGTGAGCATGCGCACTCTTGTAGGACTTCGATTATCGAGCAGTACCTAGATTGCACAGCACGTTGAATCCAGAACACCACAACGTTGGTAACCTAAGGTAATTTCCCCGTCGCCATATGAGGGGGTATCCTCTTGTCCTTTCGCATCGTCGAGGACCGAAGCCAACAACCTGCACTACGCAGTTCAAAACACAAAAAAACCAGTCTAGATTTCTGCCCAGGTCGAACCACCAGCCCTCTCAACCATATCAAAGGAGGCATCAAAAGCACCGGACACCACACAAACCTCCCAAAATCACAAACGGCATCAAGGAGAGGCAGCCTGCCCTCACTCCTCCCTTTGCATACCATACATCTTCACTCCACAACTCCATGTTTTCTTCAAACAATGGAAGCAATAAAAATAGGTAGAGATGTATCTACATAATTTCCTACAAGTACAACACTATGAAGAAAGTTGTTTCCCCCATCTTTACTCCAGGAAAGAAAAGCCCCCAATGATGATGATGATATGCCTTCTACTAGTAACACATCCGCCATAAAGGGCAAGAGTTGAGAGAGAGAGATAGCCTAGTTCTTTTTAAGGGGGACAAACCGGGGGGTTGTTGATAAAAAAAATACAATTTGCGGCATGTTGACGTCCGCATGCCACCGCCTACGATACATCCTCCTCCTCCTCGTCATCCACCTACGATCACATACACCCTTCATCTCCTCGGCGCGTCCTCAAGGCTCTTGAAAGTCGGCGACGGGCCGACGGGCGGCTGCTCAGGCGGGCTATCGACCTCTTCCGTAGGGAACGGCGGCGGCGCGCTCTTCTGCCCCTGTCCGCCAAAGTACTTTTCAAATTCCTGGTTGTCGCCAAACGGCCGGGGGCCGAGTAGGCGCACCAGGTCGTCGCGCGTCAGCATCTCCTTCTTGAGGAGCTCCTCGGCCACGATGCCGACCTCCTTCTTCTTCTCTGTCAGCAGGTCGCGGCACTGCTTGTAGGCCTCATCCACGATGCGGTGCACCTCGGCGTCAATGGCCTGCGCCGTCGCCTCCGCAAACGGCTTCTGCAGCGTGTTCGGGTCGTCGTCAAAGTGCAGCGGGCCGACCTTCTCCGACATGCCCCACTGCGTCACCATCTTGCGCGCCATGTGCGTGACCTTGCGGAAGTCGTCGCTGGCCCCCGTTGTGACGGTGGGGAAGTGAAGCTCCTCCGAGATGCGTCCGCCGAGCGTCATGGCCATGCGGTCCATCAGCTGCTGGACAGTCATGAGATAGGCATCGCCCTGAGGAAGGTACTGGGCGTAACCCAATGCACCTTGGCCACGGGGGATAATGGAAACCTTAAGGAGGGGGTCGGCGTTCTTGAAGTACCAGCCGCAGATGGCGTGGCCGGCCTCGTGGTAGGCCACCGTCTTCTTCTCCTCGGGGTTGAGCACAAGAGACTTGCGCTCGAGACCTCCGATGACACGCTCAATGGCTTGCTCAAAGTGAATCATCTCCACTGACTCGGCATTGGCACGCGCAGCTAGAATAAAGTTAGCATTTTTGGCAGATCAGGAACTAGAAGTCAGATCAAACTCACCAACCAGGGCAGCCTCGTTGACGGCGTTGGCAATGTCAGCACCGGAGAAACCCGGAGTCAGAGTTGCCAAACGGCCCATGAGGTGGTCCATATCTTCCTTGGTAACAATTTTGGCCAGGTGCACCTTGAAGATCTCCTGACGACCCTTCATGGTCGGGCGATCGATAAAGATGTGCCTGTCGAAACGACCGGGACGCATCAGCGCCTTGTCAAGAATGTCGGCTCTGTTGGTGCCAGCGAGGACAACAACCTGCTCCTGGGTGTTGAAACCGTCCATCTCGGTCAAGATCTGGTTCAGAGTTGCTTCGCGCTCGTCGTTGCCGCCCATACGGTTACCCTCCTGTCTTGATCGACCAATGGCGTCGATCTCATCGATGAAGATGATGCAGGGGGCACTCTTACGGGCATTTGCAAACAGGTCTCGCACTCTTGAAGGACCGACACCGACAAACATCTCGACAAACTCGGAACCGCTGACGCTGAAGAAGGGAACACCAGACTCGCCGGCTGTGGCCTTGGCAAGCAACGTCTTACCGGTTCCTGGGGGTCCGGCAAGAATGGCGCCGCGAGGGATCTTTGCGCCTAACCTCTCGAAGCGCTCGGGGGTCTTC